CCTGATAGTCTTTAATATTCCGTCTGAAACTTTACAAACCAGGCCTCCATCTTCTGCACTTCTCTCAATATTCTTATCTTCCAAGTTCCCACAGAATGGCTTTTCTAGCCCTAAGTTCCAAAGTCCTTCCACAATTCTCCCTAAAACATGGAGAGGTCTGTCACAGCAATACCCCTTTGTATTGCTGTGATAAAACACCATGACCAAAAAGCAAGTTGGGGAAGAAAGGGTTCATCTGGCTTACACTTCAGCATTGCTATTCATCACTGAAGGAAGTCAGGACAGGAACTCAAACAGAGCAGGATCCTGAAGGCAGGAACTGATGCAGAGGACATGGGGGGGTGCTTATTGGCTTGCTTCCCTGGCTTGCTCAGCTTACCTTTTTATAAAATCCAGGACCAGCAGCCCAGGGATGGCTCCTTCCCCACAAATCACTAAAATGCCTTACAGGTGGATCTCAAGGCCACCTTTCTCGGAAGATTCCACGGCTTGAGTCAAGTTGACACAAAACCAAACCAAGTGCCTGACACTTCAGATAGGTCGCATTGCCAGTCCCTCTCTGTTATGCCAAGTATCTCTTTCTTGGCTTGATATGCAGCACGACTGTAAAATGGGTGGAATGGAATTTGAGACTGCTTGCTGAAACCTGATGTTTACTTCTCTTTTTCTTTAAGCTTTACGTCTTTTTGAGATAAGATTAGAAGATCTGTAACTGAAACAGGGGCTTCCCAACTACCATAGGAACTCTCTCAGGTACAGGTAAGGGGTACAGGAGTAGACTCAAATCTAACTACTAGAGTCCTGGCTAGTGTGACATCACAGTTGTGAATACCTCCCATCCTAACACACTCTTGTGATTTCATAAGAAGAGATGAGCCCCATAAGCACCAGCACAAGAGCAAATGATTCCACCTTAAAACAGCACTAAAGAGTCGGTAACAAAGATCATCTACTTCAGGACAGCACTCTTGAGGATCCTTCCTGGACAGTATTCATTGCTACTCTTATGAACATTTAGAACATTTGGTTAAAGCCTTCTGGTTCATTCCTGTTAGACCCATAAGGAATTAGTCACCAGAATATGATCCTCTGTAAATATGATCACATAGCTGGCCATCCTCTGATGTTCACCCTTTCCTTCTGTAGGATCCAGGAAAACCTTAGAACTTCTCTGCATAGTGTTCTAATTCCCACTGGCTGATTCTCTGCCTTTGATAAACTGACAACCAATGTTGGTGCTAACAACCCCCGAAGAGACGCCACATCCAAGTATGAGAGAAACACAAGAGAGGAGGCATACAGATCCCAAGAGCCACTGACTCTTCAGCAGGAACACCATGGTCACCTTGAGCTTTCACTGTCTAGTGCACCTTGCAGACTAGAATCCCAAGACTGACTTCATTAAACATGCTGATTCTGGCTCTCCTTCTAACATCTCAATCAGTGGAACTGCTATGAAAGCCAGGAATCTGCAAGTTCTCTAGATGATTCTGAAAGCATGCTTTTAGAAATAGTTTTAATCTACCACATCCCTCCAAACATCAGAACTTCAAAGATAGCTCACTTAAATAAAAAAGTGTGGGCAACTCAGCTCTCCAAAATGCCAGAAATAACTGCCTTTGCCAAAGAGCACCAGTTGTCATGGTCAATTGATCACCTTCTTTTGGTTTTCTGTTCTCTTTTAGTTCCTTTGATATTTACACAAATTCTGTCTGAGTCACTCAAACTTATGGTTTATGGTGTGACTAATACTCTGGGGATAGCTAATGAGTACAAATGAGAAATACCATGAACCTCATTGGCACATGGACGGCCCCACCCCCATCTCCTGCCTCTGAGTACCCTCGGTCTGCTCCAAACAGGTATAGAAACAGACCTGAGTCCCACCATTACTGGGAGAGTCTACACAACTGTCTTTTAAAAGCATTCGTTCCAGCTTTGTTAGTTGGACTGATTCCATCAGGAGAGGTTATCTGGCCATCAAATGTGCGTGATGAGCCTAGGTGGAGAGGGAGTCAGTGACTGCCAAGATTCTAAGAAACAACAGAAGGATGGCAGTACCTCTGGCTGTGACTCATCCACTGGTGACCCACGGGGAATTACCTAGCCTTCCTCTGACCATCTGGTGGTCACAGCAAAGTATCTGAAACTCCTTTGGTGTTTCCATCATGAGAATTCTCATAACAGAGCAAAAAGATGTTCAGCAAGATGAGGAGTAGATTATTTACCAGTTTACCCAGCAGAACCAAATCCTGCCCTCTTTCAGGATGCAGTACCACAGTCAATATCTCTACAGTATATGTCCCTCAAATTTCATATCCATCTACAACTTTGAGCTATGAGCTTTCTTAAAATACATATCATTTTTAACTATTAAGTTAAAAATATATTTTTACATTTATTTACATTTATAGTGTGACATTTCAATTCAAGTATAGAGTATAAACTGCCATTATTTAAAAGCACCTTAAATAAAACTTAAAGGTGAATATAAAAAGTAAATTCATAAAATGGTGATCAAGTCATAAGAATGCTAATAAGCTGGCCACAAGCTTCCAGAGCGAAATGAAGACTACACTAAAAGTCACCTAATTGAAAGTAGATTCCCTTCTCTTACTTGTTTACCTGCTAACAGGGAGAGCAGACAAACATGTGCTATTTCTCAGTTATATGATCAACCCAGGATTGTAAACAATAATTTACTATCACAAAGAATATTTGTAAAAAGTTATTGTTAAGATTTGAATTATGGAGTAAACTGACAGAGGAACTCATGTGATCTCAATAATGCCTGGGAGCTACCTGCCAGATACAAACAGTAAATTCATTCTGTCATACAGCAATCATGTGTTCTTCCTCATACCAATAAGCCAGGCTGTTCCTATTTCTGTCTTTTCTATTCTCTTAAATCTAACTTCTATTATGTTCACTGAGCAGAGTTTTTCAAACTATGTATTAGGGTTTAAGAAACTTGGTAGAAACAGCTACATCCAACAATTTGAGCCTACAGCATCCAGCACAGTGGCTGAACCATCAACTAAGACAGATCACAACTGAATGTGCAAGACGCTTGTGACAGGCTGCTTTGTGAAAAGCCCCAAAACTCTAGTGTTTTCTCTGACGGTCACTACTTTCCTTCCGACAGCTGCGTGCAGATCTGCCCTGCGGACCAGAACTCAAAAGGCCTCCCCTTCTCACCTCTTCTCCGTCTCCCTCCTCCTGGGCTACTCTCAATTTTCTCTCAACCTCCAACTAAATGTCCACTGAATTTCAAAAAGAAAACAAAATTTCTCTTAACACTTAAATTAATCCCTGTCTTAGGGTTTTTATTGCTATGAAGAGACACCATGACCACAGCATCATTTATAAAGAAAACATTTAATGGGGTGGCTCACAGTTTCAGAGGTTTAGTCCATTATCACCGTGGCAGGTCTTGGCAGCATGTAGGCAGACATGGTGCTGGAGAAGGAGCGAGAGTTCTACACACTGATCAGCAGGCAACTGGGAGTGAAGTGAGACATCGGACTGTGGAGGCCCCAAAATCTGAGCCTGTTTCCACATTGACCAAAGGTCAGAGAGTTGGAACTTACCTCTATTCCTTCAAGGTTATTGTGTTTCTACCTCAATCAAAGGTCCCACCTAGATTTAGAGCATAGAGTTCTGCTCTCTTAACGCTACTGTCAACAGGTGTGGCTAACAGCCAGATCGTGTATTTCAGGAATAGAGAAGCAAATACTTTTCTATCTCAAAGAAAAGTCTAAAGATCTAACTAAGTTCCAGTTCACTTAAGGAGATAACTTTGGATTGCACCCAAGGACTGGTTTGCCTATAGAATGTTTTGGTCTAGGGTGTGAACATGACTGGTTTTGTTCTAGTAACAGAATGTTTAACTATGGATGTATCTTGCGACTTTCAACAAGTCTGTTCATTTTCTTGTATCATGTTAATGCAGTTTTTGTCTTATTCCTGCCTTTTGGAGTCAGGGGTATTTTAAGTAATTGGAAATTAAACACAGGTGATTTCAGTTCAGAGAACTCCCTCTCGATATTATTCTACATGTTTCTGTTTTATTATTATTAAGTGTGTATTCGTATTCTTTACAATATTTCTAAATCCCAACACCGCTACCCTGTCGAGGCTGGTCCCTAACACTGGACATGGCTTGAGCATATATGAGACCTTAACATCCGCCTGCACAATGACATACTTCTTCCAAAAAGGCCATACCTACTTCAACAAAGTCACACCTCCTAATATTGCTTATGGGGTCCAATTACATTCAAACTGCCACAATCACTCATCAAACCAACTTTTCACATGCTTAGATACCAGTTATTTAGGAAAACTGTTCAAATATGAGGGTAAGCAGCTCAGTGGTAGAATGTTTGTCTACAGCCCAACATATATCAGGCACTGGGTTCGACTTCTACTACCTAAAAAATCTAAAATTAAACTTTTGATTATTGGGAACAACCACCCACTGTGGGTAGCACCCTTCCCTGGTCAAATTCCTGGACTGTATAAGAGAAAAGGAAATGAGCTGAACACTAACATGAACACAATAATTCACTGTTCTCAGTATTTCACTGTGCATGTGATGAGACAGCTGTTTGAAGCTCCTGCTACCTTAACTTCCCTAGAGTAAAGGGATTATAACCTGGAACTGTGAGCAAATAAACTCTTTCTCTCCTAAATTGTTTCTGTCAGGGCGTTTTACCACAGCAACAGAAAATGAAGAGAATCAGATAAGTTAAGAGAAGCCTAAACTGGCCTGCACAACTCCTGTTCAAGGAGGAGTGTACGAGTTCACGTCTTATCCCCATGACACATGCTTAGCACAGTGCAAATGACCTTTCTCTGAAGGATGCCACTTTCTCCATTCCACACAAAATGGTAGAAAGGTGGCTAGCTAAACCAGTTTTTCATACGCCTAGGAGAGATAATAAATAGGTGATAAGCCCTCAGTGACAGTAAATAATGACGACAGTCAAAGTCTTTACCTGTCGGCCTTCATGAGGAGGTCAGGTGGGAGCTCAGTGAGCTGGTTATGCTGCACATCCAAGACCTCCACAGATGTTCTCTCCAGTCTTTCAGGAAGCCTTGTCAACTGGTTGTGTCCTGCCAGTAATTTCCGGAGACTACTATTACAAAATAAGCTGTATGAAAGGGAACAAAATACAGAGGACAACTATTTATATTGGGCTAATTTGGGATGAGGATTTAAAAACATAAGATTTAAATAATCATCATTCCACAAATTATATATTAATTCAGTACAGGCTAACAGGTTCATTTTAATGTATTAGATTTATTTATTTTAGTCAATGTATACGAGTGTTTTCCATGCATGTATGTACACATACAACATGAGTACCTGGTGTCTGCAGAGGTGGGAAAGGACATTCACTTCCCTGGAACTGGAGTTACAGATGACTGTAAGCAAGTATGTGGGTGCTGGGAATTGAACTCAGTCTTATGCAAGAGCTGCCAGTGCTCCCGAATGCTGAGTGAGATCCCTAGCTTTAGCAGGTCTATTTGTATTTCAGTGCTGTCTATGTTTGTGTCATGGAAGGAGTCCCTGAAGAGCTTGGTCTCATCTCGATCCACAAGGTGAGCGTTAAAAGGCTGTGTGCTTCTTCAGACCCACAGGCTAATGTCCTGTCCCGAGTGTGAACAAACACGACTGAGCCATCTTCACAGAGGACATTAAGACTCAACAATGTCTTCATGGCATCAATCTTTCAGAAACACACCTAAGAAAACTTTACTTCATAATTTAGTTTTCCCCCTTTTTCTCAGTAATGTCATATATTTTAGGGATCTAATACTCTGGGGGTAGAAAGCATTTTTTAAATGAACCAGATTTATGGATAGTATGATAGCTGAAGAACAAAGAGAAATTAATCTCTTCAGGGACTGAAATATAACTTCGATTTATTTTATGAGAGCAATATTCTAACATAATAAGAGCTACATATACAATTGGAAACTCTGGGTGCCACATTGAAGTAAAATGAAACAATTTTTATTACTAGATCTACTATGTCTAAAATTGTTTCAGTATTGTTATTCTAAATATTTTGCACTTGGTGTCTATATTTATAGTTCTTCTCCTCTAGAACTAGTTACATCTCAGATGCTCACTGTGTGTGTGTGTGTGTTTGTGTGTCTGTGTGTGACTCAAACAAGTCAGCACTGTTTATCTTCCTCAATCATTCTCCCTCCCTCCCTCCCTCTCTCTCTCTCTCTCTTTGAGGCAGGACCTCCCACTGAAACCATGGTTCACCAATGGGCTAGACAAGTTGGCCACTGCACTCCAGGGACCCACTTGTGTCTGCTTCCAGTGCTAGGATTACAGATATATGTGACCACGCTTGGCTTTTCTTAGGCAGATACTAAGGATCCAAACTCAGGTCCTTACACGTGTGTGACTGACAGACACTTTACTGACTGACCCATCTCCCCAGCCCCTAGTCATACTTTGAAAAGTCAACTGAAAGAAGTCTGATATGAAGATTAAAGAAAGGTTAAGCTAAATGTTACTTTTCTCTTATTTATATTGGTAATTTTGGTTATACGCAGATAGAAACTACTTTCCTCTGTTCTATGATTGGCTAAAAATGTTGAAATAACTGAACTTAAATTTTCGTAGCAACTGGACATCAATTAAGTTTAAATTATTACTTAAATTAAAATTAATAATCAGTGTCTTGTTCAGAAGAGCCACACTTCAAATGCCAGACGTCACATGCAGACCTCAGGAGCACTGAGGTACACACCATGTTCACCAAAGAAAGTTCCTATGATGAGCTAGGAAAGACTTCTGTGGTTTATTGACTACCTGGCTAGTCACAATTACTTAGCTAGAAAAGATTTGTCTGTATCTATGGATACTTGAAATCACCACATGGCTACTTTAAAAATTTTGTTATTAAAGAACAAATTATGATGGGGAGACAAGGTAGTGGGCGGAGCTCTTGCTGTGTGTGAGGTCTGACAAACTGCATTTAGATCCTCAGGACCTGGAAAATCAGGAAGCAGTGGCACTCTGTATGGAATCCGTGTGCTTCTATGGGTGAAACAAAGATCATCCGTGCATAAGACAGATCCTGTCTTTCCCAGGGCAGTCCTCTACCTCCGCGTGTGCACCACCCACACACCCCAACACCGTAAAACCACAATTATGAAAAAGGTAGGAGTTAAAGGAGAAGATTGTAGATTTCCTATCTCAAATTTGAAATAAAAAAGATAACCTAGTTTATGGTTTCCAGGTTCAGTGATCTGACCATATCCATCTGCCTCGTGTCCCTCCACCACCAAAACTGTATCCGGGGCAAACAAGTTATCCAGGATAGGGTAGACAAATTATCAACAGAGTCGAGTAAGGTCCCGAGGTAAACCATTTATACTGGTTTCTCAGTCTCTGAGCACTCCCTCTAGTTTATCTGTAATTTCCCAGTAACCACTACCACCTGGTATGGATGTGACTGTCCACTCCACTCTCCACCCTACGATGCAGGAACAAAAACAATGCATGCATTTGAAAACAGACAGTCTTGGAGTTCATAACAACAAGCTAACAAGATAAACACTAAGTCAGTATATTAATACTAATTATCTCTTTGATCTGCAATACTTACCGAGCAGGAAGTTCACATATTTGATTATGGCCAATATCTAAAACTTCTAACTTTCGGCTTTCACATACCCACTCAGGCACATTTTCTAGGCAGTTTCTGAAGATAAGAACATAAAAATTATTATTTTAAAAATTAAATATGGCCTCAAATATGTAATTTAATTTTTAAAATTTATATATGCCTGTGTGTATGTGTACATTCATGCAGGTGCCCCAGGATGCCAAAAGAATGCATAGGGTCCCATGGAGCTGGAGCTACAGGTAGCTGTGAGCCACTGATGTGGGTGCTGGAAGTGAACTCCAGTTTCTGTCAAGAGCTGGACACACTCTTTACGCTGCTGGTACAGCTCTCTGGCCCCTCAAATGTACTTTAAGCTCAAAAGAACTACAGAGAAACAAAACTTTAAAAAATAAAACGCCAAATTGCAATGAGCAAGATTAAAAGGCTATATGAAAATCACTATATTTTAAAATCAAGATGAATCATTATAATAGAGAAGAAATAAACTAACACAGGTATGCCATCGGCATCACCTCTAACGTTTAAAAGATTGCTACCTCTAGATATTAACACTCCTTCAGAGATCACTGCAAATTTAGAAAGAGGGAAAAGTGATCCAGGTAAGTCAATTATCAATTAACCAAGTATTACTTTCAAGTTCACATTTTTATCATTGGTATGAAAATAATTTCCAATTCTGCCTGGCATCATAAAAATACAGCTACTGGGAAGAAAAGGAAATGAAATGGTACACTACAGTGAAGACTTAGAATTAATTATTTGAAAATGTTTACTTGGGCATTTAACAATAATTATAGTTACCAGAAACAAGTGAACTAAACCAATTATGACATTATTAAATGATCTGACCATTAGAAAAATATACTATATTTGAATTTCTTTCTTTTACCTTTAAATAAAAACACGTAAAGTAATGAGACACACATAAAAGCATATAGTTATTTCTCCCCTCCCACTAGCAAAGGAGGAGATCAAAGGCCGCACATGTTTGTCAAGATGAATGCATTATGAACAGGTGCACAAGGCTGAGCAAATATGATGCTTCGGACATTCTAATAACATGGTGGGCTGATCCATGAAGTAAAAAATAATTATAAAAGTTTTGATTAAATATGGAACTAGAAGACATTGTTTTCTTACTATTCATATGGGCACACACTGTTATATTCAAAAACTGTTTTATTTTATAATAGTTAACTCTTGAACAGATGAACAACAGAGGAAAATAGAAAGAAAGATAGAAGAAGTCCTTCAGCAATCACAGCACAGGGAAATTAAAACTATAAATGGTAGTGCAGAAGTCTGCGCTGAAGAACTCTTAAGGTCCTTGAAAAACCTTGCTCAGCACCCTGGGAGATAGGGCACATGAGGTGAACATACACACACAAGGTGGGCAGGTGCACATGAGGTGGACATATGCACATCAGATGGGCACACAAACATGAGGCTGGCATGTGCCAGAGTCACAGAGGAAAATAAGCAATATTTAAGTTACAAATCCAGTGTCCTGACCTAGGGATTCCAAAGAGTACTATGTGCCAATTACATTCTATGAGAAAGAGGAAAACAGGTTCTATAGCCAACTCTCTGAAGTAAATCTCTACAAGGTATATGTACATACATATACAAACTCGTTCTTTCATTTAAAAGCTGAAAAATTAAATCCTGAGCTGATAAGAAGTGGTAGGGAAAAAACCCTAAGAACTTAATCAAGTAATGTCTGAGTTTAAGTTAATGAAATAAAACTATAGCAACTTAATAGGAAATTCATGAAACAATTCAAAGAACTTTATTTCTAAGTTTATAGTAAAGTTACAATTGGAATAATTCTTCCAATAGCTAAAAATTGAAAAGGTATTTATTAAAAATAGCCAAATTTGTGTGCTTTCATGATGAAAGGTAAAATTCTATACCTTATAACTCACACTGCCACGGGGATTGCAGCGAGCAATGATTCACAAGCACACCACAACTCACACCCTCAAACGGCTAACAGTAGGTATCTTCAGAGAGCCAGACTCCTATGTGTTCTCATATTTTGGGTATTTCCTTAAAATGAGTTTCAATTTTAGTACGTTAAAATTACTGAAGTTTCACTTGTGTAAATTCATGATGTAGACAAAGTCATGTTTTTATGTCATCGGCGGGGGGATCTATTTTTGTATTTTTAGGCACCAGAATAAGTAAGACTCACTGCACAAGTAAAGCCGCAGGAAAGCCTGTCTACCTAAAGCAAGCTAAGAGCCAGCAGCTCCCAGAGCTTTTGGCAAGTACATGTGTGTACAAAGTGACAAAAGGGAACTTAGAGACACAGCAGTGTTCTAAAGCATAGCCTCAGAGTTCCTGGGGGTAGGGAGGAGACAAGATACAACTGATATACATAAAGGGCTAGAGGACCTTCAAGTTACCCTGAAGTCTCCAGTCTTTTATATACAAACCTAGGATCCAAACTGGTTCCAGAGCAAGGATGGTACCTCGCTGGTAGGAGCTTGCTTAGCTTGTACAAGGCCCAGAGTTTGAACTCAGGTACAAGAAAAACACAGATGGCATCCAAAGGTCCTTTTTTTTTTTTTTAAAAAAAAATAAACCTTTAAATTAAGTTCAATTTTTTTTTATTTTAAAACATTTTAGTTATTATTACTGTCCTTCAAAAAATTTATAAAACATCTTAGCATAGGCTTGGACAGAATAAGCTAAAGAACTCCCCAATAGGCCAACAGTTCTGTGAGGTGCTGCCTTCTTACCTTGAGACATCCATGTAAGACAGATAATTTGGAACTGGGTAAACATCGAGTTGAACGAGTTCTACAACGGGAAGAAACACAAATCCATTACTACCCACGTGCCTCTGTCTGCAGAAAGCACTGTACTTTGTCCTCCTCTGTTGATTTAGTTTAGAAAGTACACTGCACCTTCTTGTATTACTTTAACTGCAGGAGACTAAGCCATCCTCCCATGCAACCGTGAGTCATTCATTCTTTGTTCCCATTCGTTTATGTGCTTTCTCATGGTTCTGTGTGCCAAACTGTACCTAAAAGGTCATTCAAACGAACACCATATTTTTAATACTCATGTCATCTGTAAAACCAAAAGGTCTTCATTGTTGACTCCCTCACAACTGAAACACCACACTCCAGAGCATCACAAATGAGCTCTGCTGGTCACATCAGAAGGTTTTCTGAACTTAAGGAATGTGACATCACTTTTTGCAGGAGCAGTTTCTGAAAGACCTGCTCTCTTAATTCTTAAGAATCATACAGTTGCCCATTCAGGTCCCAGTGAGAGGCCTATAGATTAATTTTTGGTACCAGCTCTCTTCTTTCCAATGCAACATTTCAGGTACCTACCTTGGAGAAGATGAGCCATGTATCACATTTATGGCCTGCTTGCAGGTTCCCTTAGCTCACATGAAGTATATCTTAGTAGCCTGGACAAGTGGTGGTGTGAATTCTCTCGCTCCTCTCTCGTGTGTCTTGCCTAGTGTTCTCGCTATTAATCTGAAAGCACCACTACTAGCACATACCTCCTCTTCCTAAGGATCTCTCTTAAAAGTCTCACTATCTGACTTCACACCATGCATCCCATAATTAAAAAAACCAACCCCCAAATAAGGGGTTTTATTAAATAACTAAGAATCTTGCTGTCATGATATTCCTGTGGGCACATGGTTCAGGTTTATCCTCGAGTAATCCCCTTGTCAATGGAACATGAAATTGCAGGCCTTGAATGGTCTTTCCAACCTCTAGCATTTAATCAGGAAGTCAATGAAATAGTTTACCTTGCCCCTTACTTTAAGCAGAAGAAACAAATGACCAATGGGGCAATTTATCATAATACAAAAAACAAGCTAGGAACAATAAAATTTTCCCTTCTGGTTCCTGTAAATACCAAAGCAACATTCTTCTTTTATGACTTTTATCTTGGAAGGATTTGGCCCTTATTTTAGTAAATGAGGAAAGAATACAGTCGGTAAAGCAGAGATGATGGCACTGGGCAAACAGCACAGATTGGATGTAGTCTCCACTTACCGTTAGAAGAAGCATAGAGTGCTTTTAGGAAATAGCCACAAATGTTCAATGTCACCAGCTGATTCCTTTCACAGTGCAGAACTTCTATGTTGTTGAAAACCATAGCATCTAGATCACCAAGTTTATTGTCTCGCAGGTCAAGCTGAGTGACATGCGGCACGAAGTCCACTTCGTCTGCAATAAGCTTTCTGAGTATGTTCAATCTTAAGGAGGAAGGACACAAACATGAGCTACTTAACCACAATCCTATAAATAAACTGCTGAACCCAAATAATGTAAAGTAATGAAACAGGACTCAGGTCTCTCTGTATTAGAGCTTCCCCTGCCATCTTTAATTTTAGCATCTGCCTTGTTTAACTGGCAAGATTCACTAGCTATTTTTAGATACACATTTCTAGAAGTCTGAGCCTTTATGATATATTTCAAAACACAATTTAAAACACAATTTAGGCCATGAAGGCTAGAAGACAGGGAGCAAGTGTATTGATTTTACCTAATTCACTTCAAGAAAAAAAAATATCCACTTAGGCACTTACTTCCAAAGAAAGAGGCTGGAGTACAGATAGAATACTGGAAAGAACATGGGAAACAAACCCAGAACCACCGAGACATATGACTCCCCTAAAGGAAGAAAGGGATGTGAAGAAAAATAGATGGGCAATCATAAAGAACAGAATCAAGGACAATGACCTCAAGCCACAAACTGAATGGGAACACCAGAGATGGAAATGTAGGTACAGGGATTCTTTATTCTCAGCATCAGAATTGAGAGCCAAAGCTACTTCCATATAGAGACTACTACTCATAGAGCAAAGTGGAGAAGACACTGAACACTGGCATCCAGGATTCGTTGAGAAATCATAAAAGGAAGCATAGGAAGATGGCAGAATCTTTTGCCATGACAACTACTGGACTGAGTGAAGTTACTGCAGATAAGCAGTGAGAGACAAGCATCAATGGATCAATATGAGACAGATACGAAATCAATATAACAAATATAAATTTAGTTTCCACTGCAAGAAAACAGATGAAAACATCACTTCTTGGTGCCAAGGAAGTCTACACCTCCTTTGGAAAGAAACCTCTCTCTCCCAAGGTGAGAAAGCTCCAAGCTTGTGTACTTGATAAAAGGCATGTTATTATGCATGGAGAGCAAACATTCTATGTGGATTCTACTCTTCAATAAACAAAACAGGTATGCGTACAGACTATCAAGAGAATTATCATAAAGCCGCTGACTGAAACACAAGGATGAGTGACAGCACAGAGCAAGAATCTGTCAACAACCAAGGGCAGCACAGAGAGTCTTCAAATGTCCCTAAAATGATGCTTAAAAACATCATTCCTTCTTTCCTTGTTCTAGATTCAAAGATTCAAAATTTGGCCTTAACCCAGAAATGTGCCTATTTCCAAATGTTCACTGAACTATCAGAACGTGCATGATGGATAAAAATAAGCCTTATTTTGGAGACAACAGAACTGAAAGAATTTAAAGAATGTTTTATGTTCTTCCCAAAATTACACTTTGAATAACCATTATAGTATTATCTTGATTTCATATAGCAACTCACCCACCCACAAGTCACTGTCTTGGTACCAAGAGGATAAAAAAAACTCTGTTCTAATGAGGACTTAAAAGAAAGTCTATGAGGAAAGGAAAGGTAGTATTCCTGTATGTAGAAGAGCAGCGCGAAGGATTATCCTCTAGCTCTAGGTGGAGAGCCCAGAGCAACAGTCACCTCTTATCTGCAAAATGAGAAAAACATCTTTCCTATTCTTCAAAATAGTTAAGAAAATGAAAGAAATACCTGTGCTCCAGTTCTGGGTACACTGTGAAGGGCTGACTCATGATCATGACAAGGGCAGGATGATGACCTCTGGCTTTATATTGATCAGAATAACAAGATGAAGTGCTGTGCACTGTTCCATAGGAGAACTGTGAGTATGTGATGATATTGTAGCAATGTACAAAATATAGAGAACCTACAAGGCAAGTGCTATTGAGAAGGAAGCATCCATCTGAATCTCAAAGGTATGGCGAGCAGGGAATAGCAGTTCACAGAAAGTGGCACTGTGGCTTCCAGGTCAAAGGCAGAACAATGCAGTTTGTGACTTTCAAGTGTGCTACAGGATAAGTGGAAGGAGTAGTAACATGGCTGGCTATATTCACGTTCTCGTCCATTCAAAGTACTTAGCAAGGGCTTTACCTACTATATACTAACACTGTGAGATCATGGATAAGTAAGAACACTGCTTAGCAGGCCACGAGAAGGGGCCGTTTACTAAATTTCTAAGTAATCACAGAACACACAAGCACACAGCTTCTATCTCATGACTTGCTATTCAAATCTCACACTTTCATCAGCTGTTGTTCCTGTGCAATCAATCTGTCATAAAGTGTGTAAACACAGCATCAATGTCAAATCACCACACATTTCTAAAACATGGTTTCTATCTCACTGTGGAAAAGCAGCAAAGAATGACTTCCCAGCCTGTGTCAGAGTATACACTGAGCAGCTCTAAGACAGAGCCTCTCGTGCACAGGACTTATATGCTAGTGGGCTGGAAGCAGGTAAAAGCTAGGAAAACTTAAGACTACTTCACAGGTATGGTGAATATGTAAAAAAGCAAAACCAAGAATAAATGGTCCAGCTGGCAGCTGAATGAAACTAGTCCCAATAAGACAGAGGGCTAAGCAAAGCTGAGGAATGATTGATTATACAGAAGAATATAGAATTTGGAGAATATTGTTTTAAGTTGTATTGCTTTTGTTTATGCTGCATTTGCTTAACTCTGTGAAGCTGTGATTCTTTGCCTGTCTAAACCATCTGATTGGTCTAATAAAGACCTGAACGGCCAATAGCAAGACAGGAGAAAGGATAGGTGGGGTTGGCAGGCAGAGAGAATAAACAGGAGAATCTGAGGAGGAAGAAGTGAGAGAGAACAAGGAGAATAGGACATTAAGGGCCAGTCACACAGCCACAGAATAAGGAAGATCTATAGAAGTAAGAGAAAGGAAACGAGTCTAGAGGCAAAAGGTAGATGGGTTAAATTAAGAAATGCTGCTTAGCAACAAGTCAACCAAGACCAGGCATTTAAAAGTAATAATAAGCCTTCATGAGTGATTTTTATATATTGAGTCACTGGAAAAAAAAGAGAGACTTAAATTCTGAGAAATGAAATTATATATTAAATAACTCAGAGTTAGTAACATTATGCTTGTCAATAAATTTAACCAGGCAAAATGTGGTCCCTGTCCTATTCTAAAAAGTTCTCAAATTCAGATAAATACAACTATTTCAATTTGCTAAATTAAGAATTCTAGCCCTGCACACCATTAACATCACCTAGTAAGGAAAGCCTGCCTTCTTTGGTGTGAGGAGAGATGAAGCCAAGCAATTCTCCATTGGCAGGATATGTGGTCCACAAGCCAAGCCACGTAAGTGGGAAGAAAGGGAACAAACAAAGGTTCTTTACTGAATGAGCTTCAGAAAGCGCCTGAGTTAGCAAGAGAAGAAAAGTGGGGACCAAAACAAGGACAGACCCACTTCTACAAACAGAGTGAAGACGCCAAGAAAGACAGTTGTGCAGGCTTCAGGAGTGGAAACAGGCCTCAGTCGGGTAACAACTGAACATAACCCTTGCTGGAAGTGTTAGGCAACTCAACTCAATTCTCTTCACAACTCCACGAATTATGTTCTATTATTAATTGTAATTTATAGATCAGAAGCACACGCATAGAAATTAACTTGCTCAAGATTTACTATGGCTAGCAGACATCAACTTCTAGTTAATGGAGAAAATAATTTAGTTGAAAAAGTACCAAACTGAGCAAGCTAGCACTAAAAACTCAGTCCTGTACATTGCTTTGTAAGAAGTCAAGTCCATGACAGGCTCCTGTTTTTCTTTTAAAAAGATAAAATTTAAAACTCTTCCTCCTTGGGCATTTAAGAGATAGTTCAGTTGTTAAAAGTCCTTGCTTGCCTTTGTTGAGGACCAGGATTAGGTTCCTAGTATCCACATGGCAGCTCACAGTTGTTTATACCATCAGTTCTAGGGGACTTGACACCTTCTGACATCAGTGGGAACCGGGCATGCACATGGTACATACGTGCATTCAGGCAAAACACTCATACACATAGAATAAAATAAATAAATCTTTAAGAGAATGAAAACATGCATCCTCTTGCGTAAGGTATCTCAGTGATTAAAAATCACTAGCTCCGTGGTGCTGGCACACCACTTTAATCCCAACACTCAAGAGGCAGAAGCAGGTGAATTTCTGAGTTCAAGGCCAGCCAGGTCTACAGAGCGAGTTCTAGGACAGCCTCCAAAGCTACACAGAAAAATGCTAGCTTGAAAAATCAAACAAGCAAAAAACCCAAAAACAAAAAAGAAAAAAGCCTAGTAGAACCTGACCTTCCAAAGGATGATGACAAAGCATCCATGGGCAGCAAAGACAGTGCTGAGGCTTCTGGCTGGGTGTCAGAGTGGTTAGACTACAATGAAGGCTCTCTGCTTTCACGAGGGGTCAGAGTACAGAGGGCAGCTAACTTTGGATATGATTGGAGATTAATGACAGAATTGATGTTTTGTGAAGAATGGTAAGCAAAACCACTGAGACACTTGAATGGACAGAGAAGAAATTAAAACATTTTAACTTAATGTGTACATTAAGTTAAGGAAAAACAAACAAACAGAAAACAAGAGATGCTCCACAGTATCAAATGTCTCAGGTACACAAATAAAAAAGATTGGGAACAATGTCCACCATGTTCTCGATGATTTCCAGTTTATATAAAGAGTCCTCTACTCCAGTGTTCCCATATATTTATGCGAATTAATGGGTTCAGGTTCACAAAACCAAAGTAAAACAATCACAACGCAAAGTCAATCATCAGTGGGATTTTCTTAAAACAAGCTTCAGGGAAGAAGAACCCTCCCCCCCACACACACACAATTTATCATTTCTTCTCTCTGTGGACTAGTTTACCCCACAATACAAGCCAGTCACTCAAATGAGATGCATTTCTCAAAAGAGGTTACCGTAGGTCCACGTGTTTAATATGAGGCATTCTTCTTAAAGCCTGTAGTCTGAGGGTCTCCATACAGTTCCCAGCCATACAGAGCTTATCCACAGCAGTCAATTTCTCCAATACCTCTGGGATGTCAGTGAATTCATTAAAGGAAAGACCCAGATAGCTGAGCTGGTGCATGTTCATCAACTCAGCAGGAAGAGACTGGAGAAAATTCCCATCCAGCAAAAATGTCTGCAAGCTATCAAAGAAGACATAACAATTACACAGAAAAATGTACATTTTCAACATACAAGTTTATGAAGATTGCGTTACTGTAATGCTACAAAATGCAAAAGGACATGCAGAAGGTAACAATGAACAAGGGAGACAAGATTGGAAATAAGGACCTTAACCTTCTATTAAAATGGGAAATGTTACCTACTTCCTCAACTTGCAAAGGTCTACATGGGGAAGTGTGCTAACTGCAAAACAAACCTGCCCCAATATACATTGTACTTATTTTTTTCTTAAAATTAATTTCTAATACTTAAAATACAATAGCTCAGAAAATGAAAAAGTAACTCCTCTCCTATGTTTGGATATACTGATTCATAAGAATTGCAGTTTAAAACAACTGTATTTTAGTTTTTTACAAGACTTTGAAGAAGTAAAGTCCTAACAAGTGACCTCTACACACTACACATGCCTTACTGCTAGATGTGAGGCCAGCACTTCCTTGGCAAACATAACAAACTAACATGATGTGAAACTTCCATGGAGTTTCCCAGATTCCCCCCATGGTTTAAAGTACGTACTTCTGCATAGCTCCAACAGCTGCTGGCACTTCTCGAAGAGTATTGCAAGACACATTCAGCTCTGCTAGGGTAGGAATGCTGCAGACTGCTGATGGAAAGACTCCTAAATGGTTATTGGAAAGGTTAAGGCTCTTCAACTTGGTGAACCTATCACAGGAAGACAAAGAAGAAACACATGTCATGAATGTGTGGCATAGCCTCGAGGATACTCCCGCTCTATTCCCACATCTAACTGAGGTAGAACTCCATCTCTTCAAGGCATAGGGAATAGCAAAGTGCAGAGCAAATCTGACCCCAAGGCCGGTGTTTTACCTAAAATATAAACATTTATCAGAAAGGCTTGCTGTTGTAAAATCAGGTTGACTGAGGAGTAAGTTCTACTGGAACAACTTTTTAAACTCCATTGTTGGTGTGGGAGGTCCTTCTGTCTATGTGTTGTTTTCAATGGTTATTGAGTAAAGAATCTGCCTTAGCCTGTGATAGGGTAGAATAGAGCTAGGCGGAGGGGGGGGAGAGAACTAAACTGAACACTGGAAGAAAGAAAGCAAAGTCAGAGAGATGCCATGGAGCTGCCAGAGGACAAATATGCAAACCACTAGTTGGAACCTTACCAGTAGGCCATGAGCCTCATGGTAAAATATAAAATAATAGAAATGCGTTAATTTAATATGTAAGAGTTGACTAGGAATATGCTAAAGTCATTGGCCAAGCAGTGTTTTAAATAATACAATTTTCTGTGTGATTATTTTGGGAGTCTGGGCGGCCGGAAAACAAACAAGTGGCCTCCTACTACACATTGTCCTTTACACAAGTAACACTTGAGTAAAAATGGTTCTGTGAGGGAGCCAGAACAAACCAAGCTGGGAAACACGGCTTTCTGTTGCTTCAGGTAAGTCCAAAATTTGTTCTTCTCACCTCCAACCCCAGCCTAGCACAAGAAACAATCAAAGCCTATTTCCTAGATGCCCAAGGCTCTGTAATGACAGACTTAGGGACCAGTGACCATCATCCCTTGATTCCACACAGCACTTGCTGTTGCTGCCCACACAGCCTTCTCAAAGACCTCTTCTCACTTCATCTCGATGGCAATTTCTTCACAGAGCCCCCTCCTAACTCTCCTTAGTCCCCTCCTTCCTATTGACCATATCCCCCTAAGACTGACATCCCCAGCCTGTGTTTTCCTTTTCTTCTTGTTGTTCTACAGTCACTTTCTGTGGAAATCTCACTGCTACCTCAACAGTTTGCTCAATCCAATCACAACTGTCTCTGTTTCAAGTCATCTACCTCTTCCACCAAAGACTAAACTTACCAAATCTTTATCCCACCCCAATATATCCTCTCATCTGCTCTATTTTTGGTGAGATCCTTTAATTTTCTTAGTTGTCCAAGCAACTTCAGGAACTATCTGTAATTCTCACCTCTGTGTACTAACATTTGCATCACTTCTGCACATGAGAGGACAAGCAATTAACTGTTTCTTCTCCCAGGAGGTTATACTTTGCCAGGAGCAGATATATGATCACATGACCTACCTACTGAAATTTATAACAATAAAGCTGTAGTCCAAAAGAAATGTAAAGTTATTCAACATAGAAAACTGATAATGTACCTACTGAACAAAGTCAAACTGTTACCATGTTTTTTAAATAACAGTTATCTTACTGGATGCATGGATATAGATATAGTCATAATTTAAATTGAAAAAAGGCAAATATTTAGCAGGGTGGTGGTGGCGAATGCCTTTAATCCCAGCACAAGGGAGGTAGAGGCAGGTGGATTTTTATGAGTTTGAGGCCAGCCTGGCCTAGTTCCAGGATAGGCCCCAGAGGTACAAAGAAACCCTGTCTCCCACCCCATATATATATGTATATATATGAGATATATATGTATATATATATGAGATATATATGTATATATATATGAGATATATATGTATATCTCACTGAATTGCCGTTTTAAGTTATTTTAATATTGTACTTTGATCCATTAGAATTTCAAAGAGATTGTTTATTTTGCTTAAACACATCCTCTCATCCTCTCAAATAGAAGAAGATCTGATAGGTTCTGCTATTCTCAGTACAGTGGTTAGCAAAGAATGCTTGGGGGACCTCCTAAGAAGTTCCTCATTAAATCCCTCTCATTAAATCCCAAGGTCAAACTATTTTTTACAATAAAAGGATTCCAACTTGCTCTGTGCTCCTTTTGCTTTCTTTCAGGTATTGAACAGATTGTTCAAATTGACCATCCTTGTGAAAGCACATCTAACTGAATGCCAAGAATCCAGACAGAAAGTCACAGATTTGCAAAAGCAGAAAACAATGACATCCATTTTGGTATTTGCATTATGTAAAACGGTTTTCATTACCAGCTGCAGCACCCGGGAAAGTGGGCCCTGTACTTGGGCAGCACAGTAGAGCAGACTCTGTTGGCAAAGGTGTGGGTGAGTCAGCCCTGATGTTGTGAACACGGGAGAGCTGTCCTCATTACTCTTCTGTCATGTGGCAACATGGGCAGAGGGGGATGCCCTAACACAAAACCCCCACACACCACTGTACATCAAGGCCTGAGGCAAATTTACGAGCTGGCTTTGGGGTCTTAAGAGCTCCCTACCCTTCATCAGCTGCAGCATTTGGAGAGTGGGCCCCTACACCTCACCTGGGCAACAAGAGTAGAGCTGGCCCTGAAGGTAGAGATATGGGAGAATCCACCCTTAGGACTCAAAAGTGGAAGAACTGGCTATCTCTGCAAGGGTGAATTCTCCAGGGCAGTGCAAGAGAGCTCACCCTGGTGGTGAGGACCTGGACCAAAACCAGAGTCCCATATTGGTCCAATCCAACACTTGCCCTATCTGTGATCTACTGGAGCACCAAAGGTGGGGTTGGTCCTGTAGACCTGGGAATGCCACAACACAGGGCAGCAATAGGATGTCCAGGAAAAGACCCAGTGAGGGCCCAGCATTGGTGATCTAGCAGAGACCAGGGGCCTTGAACCAGATCAATTATTCTTTATTGTGAATGCCTACATGTAAAGATGTATGGATAAAGAGGTTTACTGCGTGACTCACTGTGTCACACTGCAGCTTCCATGACAAGATTTTCTCCTTCCTTTTTTCCTCTCAAATTTTATTTTGTTTTATTTGGGGAGGGGGTGGGATTGGGATGCATTGTGTGAAAACACAAAAAAACAAAAAGAAAGTAAAAAATTGGTTTTCATTTAAAAAAGTCAATATTATCTAAACTTCGGGGGTTTTTTTGTTGTTGTTGTTGCTGATTTTTCGAGACCTGGTTTCTCTGAGCTTTGGGGCCTGTACTGGAAGTAGCTCTTGTAGACCAGGCTGGCCTCAAACTCAGAGAGATCGGCCTGCCTCTGCCTTTCAAGTGCTGGGATTAAAGATGTGAACCACCAACGCCCATATATAAATCTGTTTAAATTTCTAATTAAGTAAAATATTAGCATAAAGAGTCTACATAAAAGAAGGCTACTGCTCTGATGTTCTTCAGTTTTTGAGATAAACTACAGAACACCATTAAATATGACGTGCAGACAATTTCCTCTCTCATTAACTATGTCCCAAATATTGTATAAGATATACTCATGCTAAAAACTAATCATCTATAACTCAAATTTAACTGGTACTTGCTCCATCCCTTTTCCCCTTCAGATATGGTGGTTTTCCCTCAAATAAAATCACTGTTCCCATTCAAGCAAAATCATGGCCCTCTTTCTAGATGCTTCCCACATTTGGCAAGAACAGTTTACAACTTGAATTTTTACGCACTATTACATTGAGAATTTAAAAAAAAAAAAGATCTTCTGGGAAGGAAACTGATCTGCTAGACATATAGCTTTCCAGATAGTGGAGAACAAAGATTACAACATCAGTAAATGTTCATGAGGGGAACCAGAAGGCCTGGCTTTGGAAAAATATAAGAACGCAGCAAGGCAAGGTAAAACTTACTTATGCAAACAAATGTACTAGAATTCTATCACTACTGAGAACAAACAAAAGAGTAAAAGAGTCAAAACACAGCTGACATGCTTAAATGGAAAGGTGGCCCTGAAGAGATATCCCTCACTGATTCTGTATTTTATATATATAATAGATATATGAATATATATGAAGTACAGTTGTTTTCTGAATCAACTCAATGACAGATCCTACAGGACTTAGGAAGTAACAATGATTCCTAAGGGCCAAGCATCCTCTAAAGAACTCCTAACAAGGCTACACCTAGCAGTGCCATTCCCTATGGACCACACATTCAAATACATGAGTCTATGGGACCATACCTGTTCAAACCACCATAGGTATACTGATTAAACAAAATTTATCACTAAAATTATCTCACCTGTTTCATTTGTGCTTCTCATAATGCAAATGCCAAGGAGTTATTTAATGTGGAAAAGGAATAAAAAGCCAGATCCCAAATTCCCCACTCAAATGATATGCTTCCAGAGCTGGTGAGGGTCTCTTCCCTTGTCCTACCTCTCTTACACATGCACCCACAGGCTCATAGTACAGCATCTGGGCTACAGTTTGAGTCTCACAAGGTAGGAAAAGGAACTAGAGATGAGACGCAGTGTAGGCTGATGCTATACACAGTACACCCAGGGCTTGTACAGGTCGAATCTGCATCTATGCCTATAGTACACTGTGTATCCCACATTACAGAGGAACATATTCACATTTTTCTAGCTGGATTATAATTTAAACATTCAAATACATAGCATGTGGACCTCTACTTACATTCTTCTAGAGCTGTGAAATAGAGTAGGAGCTAACTCTGATTGACAAGTACTTTCACAAGTCCCTTCTCGCCACATCTCACATAGCCTGGCTCGTCCCTGAAGAGCCAATTCCCAAAGAGGGTGGGGAAAAAAGCACAGTGAGAGTAAAGATTATTTATTTCAAAAAAAAAAAAAACTCTAGTTACTATCCAAAATACACCAACAATAAATTTCTCTTATTTCAGCAACTCTGACATTCAGCTTTCCTAGAGTTAGCTTTCTGCATATGCAGAAACAGATTATAGCACTGTAGATTGAAAGCTCCTACTAGAAAAAGACCACGAGAGTGTTCACATAGAACACATACACCTCTGCTACTCAAAATGGTAGTAAATCAGCACAGACAAAGAGCACGTTCT